TATATATATATATATATATATATATATATATATATATATATATAATTAAAACGGAACAGTAGAGAAAATCCGATCAGAATGACAAAATAAACAACTAAGTATCCACTGGAAGGAATCCCAATATCTGCAGACGGATCCGATTCGGCCTTCCAGGACTCATCAGTGCAGCTGGGGTATAGACCCAAAAGAAACGTTTGACCAGCTTAGGAAGGGCCCAAACCAGTCCCACTACCACTAATGATTACAGAGCCAAACCAAGGCAATATATATATATATATATATATATATATATATATAATTTAACAGTGTTAACGGCTATCTTGATTTATATTATACGCAACTATTTGTTTCTTGCCGTACTTATTGTGTAATTATAGTCTAATTAATACAACATAGGCCTAGGTGTATTGTGGGAAACTAAGGACAAGGAAAATCATTTCAGATATATATATATATATATATATATATATACATATATATATATATATTATTGATATTATTTTAATATTTTGACATACATCATGAATTGCCTCACAACAAGAAGATAATTTTTTTCCAAAACAAGACATGAACCGCTTCATATCTTGAATTACTTCAAGGTTATTTTCTTCATTCAGTAAAGGTAGTCCGTATCATGGTGCTATGCTCTAGAAAATTACTTTTGAAAACATATTTCTAAAGCAATTGTAATGTCGACACGCACGTTATTGTTTGATTCTTCAAAGTTGTTTGACTATTTTTGTACACGATTTGAATGACGTTGTGTGAATATACTTTATCAATACGCTTTAAGTCCACATCGCTTAAAATAGGGAAGATGATTGTTCTGTTGGCATCAATGTTTCAATAACCACGACTAGTTTCTTAACATGTACTCAACCGCAATCTACATCATTTCTGATCTGCTTCACTGCCAGACAGCAAGAGGATTGTTTTCCAAATCTTTTCCAACAAGTCATGAAACAGTTTGGTATTATTTGAATTAATTCAAGGCTATTTCCTTCATTTAGGTATACATTTACATAAGCTTCGTACCACAGTACGATGAACTACAATACTTTCGGAACATACTTTAAAGTTTGTTGGTTTGTTCAACTATTTGGTACACGATTTTGATTGACTTCATGAATACGTTTTAGATTTACTTCACTACAAAGAACCGGAATGTTCTCAATAGGTCTAACCTGGCTCTGTGACCATTCTACTATTTTGTAACTATACTGTATTGTTTTGTAACTTTATTCTGAAATCACATACATAGCATACGAGTACTAATATACGTATTACTATATCTGATAGTTTTTATTTATCTATTTTGCGTGAATTTTGTGTAGTAAATAAGTTGTTTGGAAGCGAAGTATGGCGGCTTGAAAGTTGGTGAATTTATATACGTTTCTTCTTAAAATTACAACATTTTAGGGTTTATTTTTGAAATATTGAACCCAAACTTAAAAAATAGTACTATTAAATGTAATACTTTATGTTTATGACATAATCACATTTTGCTCAAATTACGTGTTATACTGTATAATTTAGCCCTTTTTCTCGATACCTGCAGGTGATGCGAGTTTACAGCCCTTTGTGGTCTTGGGTCACATATATAAAATATCTCTAAGATACTAAGACCTTGGTGATAAGGTCTCAACACAAAAAAGATTGTTTTGCTAATATTTAGTAAACGCTTATTTGTCTTAATCCAGCATTACCTTTTCCAAGGCGGTGTTAATTAATTTGGAAACCTATTATCCTTCTTTTTAGACAACTAGAAGATGTCTGTGACCGAATTTTATGGTGGATACTTTATCGATCCGTCCGTCTTTAATTGTGTGTGTATTAAGTTATATACTCCGGCTATATATAATTGATTATAAAGATTGAAAAATGTCGTTTTATTATAGTGACTACTATGTCCACTGGCATATAAATTAATTTTATTTATTAGTTGATGTGATGTATATTTAAATTTGATATATTTTTAAAGAAAGGATTACTAAACGTAAATGTTTAAATTAATCTTATCTATTATAATTATTCAAATGTAATATAACGTATAACATAATATGAAATGTTTTGTTATGCAAAAATGTTTAATGTGACTATAACAATTAGCCATAAATATTGTATATGCTTTAATATTAACTCAATATTGAACACCTCCACCATGTGATACACTTCGTCTAAAACATGATATCAGTCGTAAATTCTCATAAAATTCAGCTTTAATTGAAATCCTATTCTATTATTTTTTACAGCTTTTTCGTAAACCAAGGGATATCAATATCTGAAAATGGATCTTAATCTTCCAGATAATGCATCAATTTCTGACATTTACGTCGCTGCGATGACCATTAATATTCAAGAATCATTGGTTGAAATTCCTCTGTGTTATTTGGAAAAACTTCATGAAAAAATTTTGGAAGAATTGAAATTAGTTAAACCTGCGTCAATGGAAGATCTTCATAAAATATCTTTCTTTTTTAAAATTGCAAAAGATGAAAATAAAAAATATGGCAAAAAGAATTTGACATTTAAAAGCCAAGATTTCAACAGGGGTAGGCATTCACGATTCTCCAACAACCCTAAAACTACAGAAAAAGTTACTGTGCACGGTTATGATGTTACTTCCACATGTTTTAGGAATGCAGTAGGCAATTTCAGAAATGACTTTTGCCGTTCTATGGGTGGCTATTGGTCAAAGTTAGCAGATAAGTGTGTGCCATCTTCAATTTCTTTCGAATACTTGGTTTCAAAAGACATACTAACAAAACATAACATTGAAGTAACATCTTACGAAACGTTAAACATAGATGCAGGTTCTTATTGCTATGCATATCCAGCGAAAACAACATTGTACTTCCACGCACCCGAATCTGTTAAAAATGAATGTATATATTTTGAATTTCTAAAGCAACAATTCAGGTATGGAGAAAACAAATGCATCGATCTAACCATGATTAAGGTGTCGTCAGAATCTAGATTTGTTGCTAGAGCCAGAGCGGAATATGATATCAAAGTAAGAAAAGGCTATTGTATCAAAGGATGGGCGAAAGTCATTAGTTTTGGTATTAACGCTGTTTTAGATCAGGAGAAAGAAATGTCTTTCTCGTCAGATCAGTTAATGGTGAACTTTAAATGTGGTCCAGACAGTTGGTTTAAGATAAAACAAAAGCCAGACATTAAAATCAAAATAAAAGAAGCAAACGACTTTTTATCACTTGAGATGAACATGAGGCACTATCAAGAAAAGTTGAAAATGACAGGGGAAAATGGAAAATTAGAAGATTACAAGAAGAAAGCAATAGAAGAAGCCTTCGAAATTATGGAAAATGAACACGACGATGACGAAGAGCAAGAACTTATTAAATCGACATTACAGAAATGTAATGCGTGTGTATCTGATGTATCTGCACTGATAAGTGAAAAAGAAAAACGTGAATCTGACACCTGGTTACTTGCTGTTATTGCAAATGGATTTAGGAAAGAATATAATGTCAAGCTCTCACCCTGTTTTGAAGATCTTGTTATAAAGAAATTGGTACTTGAAATCGATACGAGGGCAGATGCCTTTTCTCACATGGATACAGCCTTAAAGAAAACTGGCATTATGAAGCATGAGTTTGTGCTGAATCCTCCAACAGCTAACCAGATGTCTGATATCAATAACCTTTGTGGACATGCATACGAAGAAATTGTTAATGCAAAAGTCTTGGCGACAGCTGCTGAGCATGGAATTCCTTTGAAATGTGTAGAAGGTGATGGTATAGGACATTATATCAACTCAGCTGGAAAACAGGTTGCATCTCCAAAGTATGTAGACGCAATATTTACTAATGCATCCACTGGAGATAGTCTGTCGGTACAATATAAATTCTGCCACGAACAAGCTGGACTCGAAAATTTATATAACAACTGGAAAATGAAATGGCAAAATGAAGATCTCTCAAATATTGATGTAGTGGTACCTAAAGGAGTTAATCAAGATGGTAATTTTAAGGATGTTGTTAATTTTAAAAATGAAATCACTGTTGAAACTCCAACTCATCAAGATGTAAGAAAATGGATTGATTCAAATCGTACAAAACTTACTAGAGTTGCAGAAGAACATATCAAATATCGAGTAGATATCAAAAATAAGATTAAGAGAAGTAATACGGCTATGAAGAAACTGAAGGATAGAATTGAATCGTTAAAAACAAAAGGAGACGCATGCTCACATCCAGAAGGAAAGAAAAGAATTTCTGAAAATATTGAGAAGATGAAAAAGGATTTCAAAGACCACGAACAACGTATTTTAAAACTCAATAAGGAGATGCAAAAAATAAACGAAAATGTTGATAAGATAGTCAAAAAAGATGGTCTTAATCCAATTCCAGGCATGGACGATGAAATGATGAAGCAGCAGAATGCAAAACTCGAAAAATTCAAACTAGAAGAACTAAAAAAAAAGGCTAACAGAATAATGGAAGCTAAAAAGCAACTTAAAGCTACAGTTGCTTTGGCGTGTATCATAAGTACATCAACGGAACTTATATGTTCCTTGGTCGATGAATTAGCCTTATGTGATGAGGGTAAGCAAACGTTTGGCGAAGCCGCACTGAATATTTTAAAACGAACCAGCAAGGCTGCAGGTATTAGTACTGGAATCGCAGCTGGCATCGGTGGTATTCAGTATGGTCTAACTCGGCTGGCATTGTCAGAATCATCCAGGTTATCGACTTTTGGAAGTTACGGCAGTCGCATCTTTGGTCCTGCACTTATGGTTGCAGGCGTAACATACCAAAGTTATAACATCATTGCACAATATAACAAAGATAAAGAAATGTCCCCTGCATTTGCAAGAAAAAGAATGGGTATCGATTTTGCTCGAATGGCAGGCGTAACTGTTGGATCAGTTGGATCTTTTGCTCTTGCAACAGCATGTATATCGAGTACACCAGTTGGATTAGCGGTCGGAGCCATTTGTTGCATCGTTATTGGTATCGGTGATTACTTTCTCGGGAAATATCTTAACCTAGAAGAGGAATCAGCTAAATTAGAGTACCTCGAGTTGAGGAAAGAAGTCATAGATAAAGCCTATGGATTGTTTGACTTGGAATGTCATTGTACTGATAAAGAACTGAAAACAGCTTACCATGCAGCGATACTAAAATATCACCCAGACAAAGCCGAGAACAAAGAAGAAGCAACGGATATCGCTCGTGCTATTATTACTGCTTATACGTTATTGAAAACAGTACGATCTGAATAAAAGTAAATTACCAAAATTGTTAACACATAGAAAGTAGAAATATGCCTTTTTTCATTTAATTTATATTTACTAAAACATTGTATATACATATAATACCTTAAATATTTGTTAATACCTGTAATTATATGTAATCGTTATATTGGAAAGAAGTAAATGTTCATTTGATTTGATTTGATTAGTACTGTCTCGAAATTACCAGAAAAACATAACATAATATAGGCTATATACATTATAATGTATTATATAAACTTTATGTTATGGAATGCTTTACTGGTTGAATAAAATTAAGGTGTTAGGTAGGCATTTAGTAATGAATGATGATGATGATTATTATTATTATTATTATTATTATTATTGTTATTATAGTTGTTATTATTATATTCATTGTTACCCTCATTGCTATCATTAATGTCAATACTATTTATTTTTATTGCTATTTCTATTATATTACCGTTTATTGTTTTTGCTTCTATTTTTTACTATTTCATTATTACCCTCATTATTATCATTAATATTAATACTATTTATTTTTATTGCTATTACCGTTTATTGTTTTTGCTTCTAGGTTTTACTATTTCAACTGTTGTTGCTTTTAATTTATAGTGGTTGTTATTATAATTTTCATATCTATTGTAATTTATTATTGCTTCCAAACGTTCGGCTATGTTTATTTTTTATAATTTTTTGATACCATTTAAAAATTTCGATGTAGGCCTTCCACAATAACTCTCGAAATTTTTAATTATTTATTTTTATTCTTTTGAGCTCTTTTTAATTCCACGTATTATATATAAACTTTCTTGTTTATTTTAAATTTTTTTTTTTGTAGCTTTTGCTACTTATATTACTACTAGGAAACTGATTTCCGTTTTGCTTATTTATTTGTATGTATCATTTATGTCCATTTAACTGTACTTCTCACAACAGCTCAAGTCCCGACTGATTATCTAACCTATGTTTTTCCACTTTTATATATATAAAAAAAAATAAAATCCAGATGACTTTACCTCTCTCAGAGTATTATGATCCCGATTATTTCCCTAGGTGTCACGGAAACATCAAATGATTTTTTTCTATTGTTCATTTATTTCTAGAAGCATTACAATATTTTTGATGAAATGAAACAAATCTTTACATCACTCAAACTACCCTTTGATTTAATTGGAGTGAGTGAAAATTGGATCAAAATAATTTGATAACCCCCTGGTACTTTCTACCAGACATGATTGTGATTACAAGACCCATTTCGAAAACATTGTCGTCGAAACCGTTTATAGATCACCCTCCCTTGCTCCTTTTCAATTTGCTGATCATAAACTTGACACCGTCCTCTTCAAATTATCAAGAGATGACAAAATTGTTTCATTTTTGGAGACCTTAATATCGATATTTTGAAGCATGGGTCAGAAAATAGTGCCCGCTACTTGGTCAACATTTTTTTTGCATTTATTCTTCCCCGCATCTACAGACCATCTCTTCTATAATCAACCTGACTTTCCTAATCCGAGTAGATTAATTTATTACGCCATATCTGATCATCTCCCTTTTTAAAATATTTCTTCGCGTGCTGTAACTAGGTCAAACACAGAAGAGAAATCTAAATTCAGAAAAATTAAGTCCACCACCTGCGAAAACTTGCGTCTTGATGTGTCTGTTGTTTGAAGTCAAAAGTATTCAGGACCCTGATGAGACATATTCTGAGTTTGAAACAACATTAAAGAAAATTTATGAAAAACATTTTCATCTCCTGGAAAACCATTAATTCTTTAATAAAAAAAAAACAAAAAACAACAAGTCAACAATCAATACCTCCTTTAATACTGTGATAAAGAATTGATTAATGATCCTGATAATATATCTACTGTTTTTAACAAATACTTTGTCGAAATTGGACCCTCCCTTTCTTACAAAATTCCCCATGTTAACAAACCATCCAAAGATTTTCTTCCTAACCCAACCCAACCCAACCAGTGATTCCGTATTTTTTACTCCAGTTGATGAGACTGAAGTGATCCAAATACTTACCTCTCTTAAAACCTACAAATCCCCGGGTATTGATGATTTCCATTACTGAAGCCATCAAATACATTGGTAACATAATCTCTCGTCCATTATGCCATATATTTAACATTGCCCTATCTAGCGGTGTGTTCCTACTGAAACAAGATAAAGTTAGCGGGCGTTACCCCTATTTACAAATCGGGCATCAATTATGACCTTTCTAACTATCGTCCCATTTCAATTCTATCCACTTTTTCGAAGGCCTTGGAAAGGGTAATTTACAATCGAGTATTCTCATTTATGATTAAATACGATATACTTTATAAAAAGTATTTAGGTTTCAGAAAAGGACACATTACCTTTATGTCCCTTATTGATCTAACAAAATTGTTAACGCATTTAAAATCGCCTCCCTTCAATCGGACTTTTTAGAGATATTTTCAAGGGCTTCGACACATTTGATCACACTATTCTCTTATATATTATCTTGTTAATAAGGAAATAAAGAATAAAATTCAAAAAGCCTTGGTAATATTTTTAGATTATCGTCATTTGTACGCCTAATATTCTTAGTATTCTCTACTGCTCGCTTATTCTTCCTTATTTGAGCTACTGCAACATTGTTTGGTACAATACATATTTATCCAGCAATAACAAACTGTATATTATCAAAAGAAAAAAAGGCCCTTAAAATTATATTTGGCGCTCCACAACGGTCTCATTCCTCTCCCTTATTTTCCAATTTAAACTTTCTTAAACTCTCTGATATTAACCATTTTAAACAAGGTAATTTTTTATACTCTGCCTTTCTCCCCAATCATCGAAGTAGCATGTATATACCCTCAATCACTCCATTCACAATTAATGTACTCGATCTAGAAGTGATATTCCCATCCATACCTAATCATAACACCAACAGTATTAAATACTCTGGAATAATTTACCACCCTCAAACTCAGTTTCCTTGAAGTCCTTTACAAAATAACTCAGGAATCACCTTGTTCTGCATTAAAAGATTTTATTTTTACGATGGCGACTCGTCTTGCTGCCCCATGAAACTTCATTTTCTGTTGCCATGCTTGTCTGTATGTGTTGCGTGTTTGTTTGTTAATTTGTGTCTCTGTATGTTTTTGTGAGTTTTTGTTTAGGCCTGCCTATGACAAGACTTTTAAAACAAAATCTTCTCGGGCAAGTGCCTTTTTCCTTTGGTTTTGTTCTATTGTCTCATAAACCCATTGTTATTAATTATTTTTGTTTTCTAATATTTGACTGCTATTGGAAGACAACAAATTTCTTTTTGAATTGAAATTAATTGAATAGGCATGTTTAGGTGTAGTAGGTCTACATTGTTTTAGGTCGATTTGTACGATAAATGTATAAAGAAGAATCTTATTATATTTTATATGTCTTATCAAAATAAAGTGACAGAGATTTAGATACAAAAAATCACTTACCACCGCCCATACCAAATCACCCACACTAAATGACTTTGTTTAAAATAAATCTCCTAAAGATATGTTCTTAATTTTCAACCACTACCATCCAAACCCACTTACAAAAACATACAGTAACTCACCCACTCTCAGTTTATATTTTAATTTTAAAACATTTTAATGTTATGTTAAGTGGTAGGTGGAACATTTTAATTTTATACTTGACAAAAAAGTACATGCCAAGTCTTGACGACCAATGCTTATTTAAGATATTTTGGCCTAGTGACTCCATCTATAGCGTTCATCCATGCATAAAACTCGATACACCACTGACTCTGTTTCGCCAGGGGGAGTCTATATGCATATTCATGAATCAGTTGTCCTAACTGACCTAAAATAGCACCCCCTATAATTTCTGCCGCAACTGTATGGGGGCAAAAATAATTCCCCCAGCCGACACATACGAAAACACACACATAAACTACAGCTAAACACATATACCTAGCTAAATACATATATCATATCGAGCATAGTCCGTATTGACACTTCAAATATGTGAAGAACGAAGAAAAATAATAGGTACTACATTCAAGTATCTATCTTACTTTATCATAATATTTCGACATAACTGTTTGAAGTAGGACCTGTGTGCTATGTATGTATGAGCTGGTCGTTGTTGCATTGGTCTTCATAATAAAACCAACTTCGGTACTAAATTGAATATTGGATTTTAATTGTAGTTTTATTTCGTGTATGCCTACCTGGCATTCAGCCAAACAGCAGTTTTGTACTTCAAATGTTTCATGTACTACACATTATAGGTATTAAAATCACCAATAACGTATTAGCATTGTGCCGCTGAACGGCAAGAGAAAAATCATCATGTACTCTTTAAGGGGGAAGGGGAAAAATCATCATGTACTCTTTTAGGGGGAAGAGGCAAAATCATCATGTACTCTTCTAGAGTAAAAGGTACCGTACTCGCGCGAATAAGCGCACAGTTTTAATAAGTACATCACCTACTTATGCATCAACTATTCGCATCTTAGTATTGTCGGTCGGTCGGTTGGTCGGTCTGTCCATCCATCCATCCATCCATCCATCCATCTGTCGGTCTATCTTTCTCCTAGGTTTTCAGTTTTAATGCACCATTACAATCCTGTTCTTGTTATATCAGATACATGAGAAGCACACACAAGACGTGTGACTATATTTGTTTTTACAGGTCACCGAAGGGGGGTGGCTAGCCACCCTATAAGGGGCGGATCCAGAAGTTTTAGTTAGGGGGGGGGGGCTTCGAATATTGTTATAGTGACTGCATCAAGCTTTCAAAACAATCTGATAGTACTACGTTGAAAACAAACTGAATAAATATACTTGTACAATGGAGCTTTTATTTAGTATCTGTATATAATTGAAGAATCTTTAATGGCAGATAAAAATATCTTTTCACGTAGGATACTCACAGAAACCACATAATTTAAATAAAAATATTAAAAAGGCAAATTATACGCCATGCTTAAAATATTGGAACCACGCTTCAAAAAAATATTAATGCAAACGCAAGATCAATAAACAGACTTAGCGTGTCACTTGCTTTGTACTAAAATAGCAATTGTTTGTATCCACCCTTTAGAATTTTGTGCACCACCCTTGAAATTTTGAGGACATTTTCTGAAATTTCACCATTCTTTAAAAATCCTGGTGAAAGGGTTGCCATGGGGAACATAAGACAATGAAGAGGGAGAAAACAGTTCCATAAATAAAAATACTGTCCCTAAAGGTAAAAATTTGACAATGTTAAGGAGAACCTCAGGCGACAAAAGAATTCCCCTTAAAATATGTTATAAATGTAGTAGTAGTATATATGTATATAAATATATATATATACATATATGCATGTATATATATATATATATAATATATATATATATATATATATATATATATATATATATATATCATATCATATTATATTATATACCGTAGATAATTATTTAATAATAGTTTGGGAGGAATAGAATAATATAATTGTACAAGACTAGACAAGAACGACTCGCTCGACACGAAAATCTAAGTTTATTATTTGTTTATTTACAAACATTCAAATACCTCTGACTGCAAGCAATCGAGGAAAGACTAGACAAGAACAAACCCGCGCAACACGAAACGTTTAGTGTATTATACAAACGTTGAAACCGCTTTGTTTCGAGATTTGAGCATGAAGGCAAGACAAAAACTGCTTTCTTAGCTACGTTTTTTGTCCGCTGATCGGTTAAAAAACATATTTTATTTTCATTTTATCACTGAAAAACAACTACTGTAAAATGTTTAGCCCATAAATATGATGTGTGTGATGAAAACATTAAACAATATTTTAATTTGGACCTTCAAAAAGCAGTTAAAAAAAAATGGCTATGAAATTTTAGGGGGTGGGGGGCTAAAGCTTGTTTAGCCCCTCTAAATCCGCCCCTGCCTATTCACCCCATAATTTAAATGAAAGAGTAACTAAATACTGTAATTCTAAATCCAAGAAGGGTATGTTACATACTCTCGTAAAACATACACTTTCTATTTTAAGCTTAACGTCTTTTCAGATGTCATCCAAGAGCGTCTAGCCGTCTACTAATTCCAAACAATTTCAAATGGAAGGAGGGGATGCCTTTCCCTAAACCCATCATCAAAGAGGGACAGGGGGGAAACGTCCCAAAATATTGTTAAGGGGAGGGGGGTGGTCCCTTACTTTTCGTCCGCAATGTAATAATTTCGTAAGTCAAGAAGATGCCTGAAAATTGTTGAGATGAACAGTACACAAACATCTGAATTACTTACAATACACGACACTTGTGCGCGTGCCTTTACTATAATATGAGAAGGGAAAAAGCGTGTAATAATAATAAGATTGGTTTTCGGCACAGGGTAGGCCTAAAGTAAATTAAAAATACATCAATGACAATTGAGTTTTATTTAAAATTGAACATCACAGCTATTAATCTGATCGATGATGATGAATTTCATTATTATTATTATTATTATTATTATTATTATTATTATTATTTGGTGCTTACCCCTTGTTTATTTGCGCCTTATAAATTGACCTATTATTATTATAAAATATAGAATTTGTTTTCATTTTCTAACGAACATTACAAGTTCCTTTTTTGAGTTAAGCAACCAAATGTTGATTGACGTCTGTATACGTGCGTCTGTAAATTTTCCTTGAAACCCACCCTCGAACATGAAGAAAAAATCGCATGCATTCGTGAATTCTGTATTTAGGCATATGGGGGCAGGGGCGAATCCAGGAATGGAAAGAGGGGGGTTCAAAACGTTCCAAAACACCCTCAATGAAAAGGGGTCCGACTTTCCCGACTTCTGAGGAGTTTTTTTTTATTAACCTTTAATTCATTCATTCAAGATTTCCCTGAAAAGGTCAGGTAATTTTATCTTTATACAAATACATAGAGAGAAAATAAATCAAAGCCATAGGCAATATATTATTATACAATAATGTATATATTCCAACAATATTGAGTAGTTGGATACGTAGTCTTTCTTCTATGGATCGATGAACCGATAGACCTGAAGAACGCACTTTCGTAAATAAATTATTACGACATCGAACCAAAAAGTTGTGTATAATTTTATTTAATTGAAGGCTAGTTGGGTTAAGCCTAGTTTGTCTGATCTGCCAACCTAGCCTATGCAGGTTAGCAGGCGCGGATCCAGGATTTTCCATGACCTTCTCACAGATGGTGTGGCCTTTGCAGTGGTGGATCCAGAAATTGGAAATAGAGAATGACCAGAGAGGAACCTTCACAGATAGACAATTTTCCATTTTTTTAATCAATTCTTATAAAATGATTTGAAATATTTACGGATTCCCGGGCTGGGGTTCCCCTTGAATTTGCCACTGTATGGAGGAATCCTCTAACTCTCAGGTGACCTAGGGTTTTAAAATAAATACTCTGTATACTCGCGTATAGGATGAGGCTTAAATTACGATCGAAAAAAAGGTAGTCGTCTTATACAGACGACATTCAAATTTTAGATTTTGTAATCATGTTCGTCTTATGTGCGGATCGTCCGTAACACGTGAACTTACTGTAATGAAGCAACTAAATGTTGTCTGAATGAACGCAATTATAAATACGGGAAAATACGATTATGGTGCTGAAGATTTTAAACCTCATAAAACGGTATTATTTTGAATATTACCCTTGCATTTGGCTTCATTTATCCAGCTAGATGCAGTATCAGGACCTCAACAAATTAGGAATTCCGACCATGAAACTGGGGGTCGTCGTACGCCCGACATAGGCTACAAATATCAACCAAGATTACTCAGGCACGTCGTGAATATCAACTATAAACAACATATTATGTATGGAGATATTTCCCCTGTATATCAAGAACTTTGAGAGCAGGAAGGTTAGCATTTACTGGACATTACTACAGAAGTAAAAATGAAGTTTTATCATTGGTTTTTTTTGGGATAAGCAAGGATGACCCCGACTACACACATCGAACAATTAGAAAAGGATCTACTGTAAACACACAGTGGCGGTACATTGAATGGTCTAACACTAGGGCCTGGGCCCTGTGGTTTTCTAAGACTAGGGGGCTGTTTTCCAGTACTGGTCGCAATTCAATTTGTGGGGTTTAGATATGTTTTTTCAACATGTTTTCATTTAATATATTAGAAATATTTTTAACGACAAAAAAATGATATGATATTTGTGGCGGATTTAGCAGTACTAGTAGGAATTGGAAATCGCACCACCTCAGCCCCACCATGGTTGGGATTAAAAAAATTTTCAGATTATGGCACCTCTAAAAGGCCGGAAATGGCACTCACAGACTTAACATTTGAACATTATGCATTCTCTTTTTATCTCTATTGTTTTCACAATTGACAAACCTGTTGCCCTTAATCCGTCACTGGACTCCGTGGGTAGGGGCCAGGGACCCTAGGAGTCGAGGGCCGTGCGGGCCACGGCATGAGAGTACAGGCGTTACGCCACTGAGTACATTCCACAACTTATGGAAAACAGAGATTTACGGAGAACAGTCATAAACAAAATGTCACTTTGCTCATCATTAACCGGGTGTGCCCGATAAAGAGGGAGAGAGACAAGGAAGATATTTCTGCGGTGGCGTATCGAGGGAATGGCAATGCTCAGGATGCCTTAGCACCTCCCCCACCCAATAAAAGTCTCAAATTCTCACACCTTTGTCTTACCTCAGCCTTAACCACTGTGGGCTGAGGTGGATGGATTGGCAGTTTTCATAAATTTATTATTTTCGGGCATCTAAAAAGTCTCAAATTCTTAAAATTACTCATCTGCGTCCCAAAACCATGTGGGGCTCAGTTGGATTTGGTAATTTTTTGAATTCTAAATATTTAAGTGCAATTTTCTTGTACTTATTTAATTAGTTAGTTTTTTTTACACTAAATTTGTCAAAAATAAAAAAAAGGTAATTTAAGTTCCATTTTGTGTGGACTCTCATCTAATCATCATAGACATGTTACCAACCTGGGAGATTTGAAATGCGTGACTAAGCCAATTGGGAGGTGCCGCCAGGAGCCCAGGGGCAGAACCATTGGCAGTTGGGGGGGCTTAAACCGGACAGGTCAAGCTCCCCCCCCCCCGCCTTACAGAGCTCGTCGGGCATTCAGACCATAAACCATATAAAAAATAGGCCCACACCGAGCCAACA